AAATGAGGTGGATCAAGGCATGTGATTCAGTATGCAACATTTAAACTATAATGAAATAGAGCTTCAAATCTGTGAATATGTATAGTCTTCAATATGGGTGTAGGACCTTTGAATCTAGCTGTAATTAATTTAACTTATTGGTATTAAAATTCCTTATGGAGAGAAGGAAATAATAATAATCTATACATTTTAAAACTAGTTGAGAGAGAAATTGAGATTACACAGTTCTGTAAGAGCTAGAAGTAAAATGAGCTGAAAAGCTGAAAGCTTGACCTTATTTAAGCAAATGGGAAATTTTGCCATCTGTTTCTTAGTTCAGTGCCCTTTCTGTTGAGTCCTGCTGCCTTTGCATGTATTTTCTTTAATAGTATATAGGATGTGACTGATAAGATTTTTAATTTTTTTCTGTTGACTTTAGTTTTATAAGTAAGATCACAAAGCTTATTCTATTAAAAAAAGAGATTTATTGAAGAAATAACCAGAAAGGCAAGACTTTTAATATATATTTTGAAAGCCAGCCAGTTACCAAGTCAGCAAATTTGACGGCCAATTTAAAAGCCCAATAGTTCCTCTGAAATGCAAAGAAGGGCACTACACCAAGAATAGCAAAACCTTTGTCATTTAGTTAATGACTGTTAACACCTAACGTGGAAAACTGTGGTTTATTGTAGGGAGTCAGGTCTGAATTGTGTTCCCAAATCTGCTAATGACTCAGTCTGTGATCTGCAAATTATTTAGTCTTCAGATTTGACTTAAAAAAATGTGGAAGATCTATCTGTGTCTTGAGTAAATTAATAGTCCTTACTTGGTGAAGTGGGAACTTCTTGTCATCGTTATTATTGTTCCCATACAAAACAGAGATAGCAATACGTCATTACCTTCAGGGGAAAGTTTTGAGCTCTGGCAATGGAAAATGCTAAGGGAGTGCTGAGCAGTATTGTAATATAGACGGCACAAGAATTGTTGGAACTCCTGAAAAATTTAAAACCAGAAATTGTGATATTCTTTAAGAGTCTTAGTATGGCAGTGATTTCCTAGTGTGCTGAATACAGAAATTTTACTGGTAAACACTACAAATGAAAGGGTGCAGTACTCCTAACTGGCCTTGAGGAGGAACATTTGAACAATATATGCAGGCAGCATCTCTTTCAGAGCCACTGTGGGACTTCATTTTGGGAAAATAATATGCAGCAAATTACTTGTTACTAGATGCAAATCACAGTCTTCAAAATATAATTATGCATTTTTAAAAAATAAGTTCTTCATTATATGTATGTGACTTATGAGGAAATTCTGTCTTAAAACAAGAATCACATTTGACAAGAAAATTTTGGAAGCTTGTTGTATGGATTCATTTTTAGAAATTATGTTTTAAAAGCCTTTATTTTTTAATTAGTATTTTAGCTACTTTTAGAATTAAGCCTTTGTTCCAACAATGACTTCAGAAAAAGATTAAAAACCCAAACAGTTGACAAGGAAAGAGATTCAGAATTGGCTGTTTGAAGCATCTTATTTGTTTATATCTTTTTAACTTATTAACTCTATTTGACAGAGAAATGCTTTAGAGAAAGGAAAAATATTACAGTTTCACACCTCTTCTCCTTTAATTAAGTGCACGAGACCACAAATGTGTGGGATCACCAGGAAGCTCTTAATTAAAAATAAGAATGGCAACATTTAATATTACTAAAGATCTAAGAAAAGAAAGAAGTTGGAGAGAGGAAGAGGTAAATCTTTGGTTGCCTTTCTTATCTTTTACATGTATTTGTTGTCTGAGAGGCATAAGGTGATTTCTTTCTTTCTTGCTACGTACTTCACAGGCCACTTTTATTTCTCCTGGTTTCTTTAGCTCTACGTATCCAAGGACTGTTCCTTACTAGGTTATTTTGAAAATAAAATGATGGGGTTTGATTCGGTCTTCTTTGTCAGATAGCACTTAAGGATCTTTGTGTTCAGCAATATGGATATATAGCAGATCAGCTTATATGCATTGAGGAAATTTTATGTTTTACTCTAGAAGGACGTAGTAAAAAATTCTGATTAGTACTAGTGCAGGTTCAGCTTCAGTATGTCATCAGAGAAACTTCACGCTCTAGGTGTGCTGACTCTCTTTTAATTCCGTGTGTTGTCAAGAAGCCTGTAGTGAGTAGATTGTCATGACATAGAAATACTGAAAATGTTCACATAGACCACTTAAGCTCTAATATCATTGTTAAATGCAGGAAGAAGACTCTGTGTAAGATTACCTTATTTCAGATAGATCTAGGTATGCTCAGCACTGACCTTGTGGGAGGATATCCCCTGAAACCAGCATGGTTGAGTTTAGAGCAGACCTTGAAAAGGGCAGGTGATGCTATTCATAGGAAAGATCTCTGTTTTGGCCTCTGCTGAATAAGTGTCCAGCTGTAGCTGGTCTGAGAAAGGAGGCTTGAGCCAGTTATTTCTGACATGCAGTCTCAGTTTTGCTACTAACTTGTGTCCTTGGGCAAATCACTTAATCTCTGTGCCCTGTTTACACAAGCATTAAAAAAGGAAATTTTTTTCTACCTCACAGACATGTTCTAAGTGTTTATTAATGTTGGTGCAGCACTTTGAAGTTATAGAGTGCTTTGAAGTTTTTGTCCTTTGAAGTATTGTTTTCTGACTTCTCAAAGATGAATGTTTATTTCTTAAATTAACACATGCCCATGCTTTCTAGCTTATTTTGTGTTGCCATGTCATCACCAAATATACATTTAATTTTCTCTATTTTAATTTCTCAGAGATGAAAGCACCCCAAACTAACACCTTGCATGTTGCTGAACGAACATGTGAGGTGATGTGGGCATGGAGTGAGGAACCTGTAGAGGTCACCATTTCTCCACCGAGGCTTTCCTGCTCTGAGCCCGGAGCCTGCAGCTGCGGTCACTGTCTTCTGTTGAAACTGCATGTAATGCCACTGAGTGACTTCCAGTAACTTCTTGTGGTCTCTAGGGCATTTTCTTGATAAAATTGATGGAAAGCCAAACATTAGTACCACGGTTTCACTCACCGTGATATTTTTATGTTTCCCAATGTGTACTTCAATTTCCTTTAAGACAATTGTTTGCAGTACTGCCAACTGTTTACTGGGGACGTATCTCACTGTAGAATAACTAGTCTGTGAGAGATAATAAAGCCAACATCATTATCTAAACATCATGAGGGATGGAGAAATATATCTGGGTAATCAAGGCATTCTCATTAATAAACATGACTTGGGAATAAAGCCTTGTTTTGGATAACCAGAAATGTAAGTGGGGCCTAGCTGGTTGAGGTTGAACTATATTTAGGTATAGCTAGATTGAGGAACAGCCATGTTAGAAGCATTCATGATGATGATTAGAGTGTACTTGACTTATTATAACACTGGAAGAGAAGCTGACTAGTCAGAATGTCTGCAAGAGAGACAAAATGTAGTGCTTAGTTTTGCTTAGAGATTAACTGCAGTAAATTAGGGAAGTCAAAAGGGGAGCTTTGGCACTGAATGATCTTGTTTGTGTTAGTCATATTTCTGTAGAGACTAGGCTTGGGGCCTTCCTGGTGCTGAGAAATGTCTACCCTGGCTGGTATTTAAATATGAGGTGTTCCCTAGCATAGTGCCATCCTCTGAGTGGTACTGGCACACACAGAACATGCGTATGAGCAGGGGCCTGCTGGAGGGAGGGGAAAGCTGATCTCTCCAGTCTCACTTTTTCCATCTCAGACTAGCACACTGGGCTCCCATCTTATCCTCTCTGCAACTTAGGCGTTGGCAGGGCATAACCACGCCTACAGAGTCCTGTGCCAGGTCCTATACTTGAAAGATGTGCCTTGCAGAAGGCACAGCTTCTCAGCTTTGTCTGCTATTCATGGATGATTTCAAAATACTAAGTAATAATACAACAGCTGATATAATAATTCAGGTATTTTATTCTATTTCCAGTACAAGTCACGATTTTATCCCAACACTATAGTACTATTTCCTCAAGTATAGATAAATGAAGATCGTGTTAAGTGCTACACCTGTACAATGCAAAATTTTCTTTTTTCCAAAGATTAGCGTGTACTTTTATGAAGTTCCCACCCTGGGGTAATTGTAAATGGACAATTTACAATTTACAAATGGACAACTGTAAATCTGCAGAGTGCCACTGATGACTGTAAATGCTGATAGAGCAGACTGTCTAGCTGGACCAAACTGTAAGAACAAGGCTTAATGTACATAACTTAGCCAAAGTGAGGATTAGTGTTGTTTTTCAGTTTACCATGCATGTATTAGTGAAGTTTAAGAAGAGTGACCAAGCTACTTAGAAACCATTTTTTGCCATTCAGGTTTTTGACTAATTAGATTTCAGTATTTTTCCAAAGTTCTTAATGGAATTACTTGCCAGGTATTTTTCTGAAAGGCGACATAGTGAAGGTAGAAGGAAAAAAAAACCTTTCTTAATTTGGCTTCACAGAGCTAAGGAAAAACAACGTTCTTGTTTCAGAACATAATAAATAAAATAATGGTTTGATACAACAGAAAAATGTTAGTAATTATATGATGAAATATATATTTAGTTACCCTAATTTTCATAGTGCAAAGTAAAAAAAAAGAAATATTAAAATTTTTGCGTCTACGTGATGAATATTACTAGTTATTTGTTTCTATACATATTTATGCTGCAAAAGTCTTTACTGTCACCAGCTTAAAGAACTGATTTTCCTGTTAATCTATTGACTAAACCTAGATGGACACTAATACTGATTTTACTAATGAGGAGATACCATTTTCCAATTCATTGTCTTAAAGTTGTATCAGTGTTATGATTTTTATAATAATTATCATATTAGAAGTTTAAATATGTCCTTTCAGACCAACGCTAATAGAAAGCAGTTATGGCAAAATGCTAGCCCTCATATCATTAGCATAAAATGTACATGATGTAAAAATATTAAGTTACTAAATGCTGAGGCAGCTTCAAGGATGAGCAAAACCAAATGGAGAGAGGGTCAGGGTTCTTCTCCAAAATAGGCTGATTTTTTTTCTATTTAAACCAAACAAGCCCTTGTGGTTTTGAGTCGGGAACATATGGTTTGTCAGTGAAATCTTACAGAAGCAAATACTTTATAGAATCTAATCTTAACTGTTGAAGACTCTTTACATCCCCTGTACTCATCGGGTTAACCTTACTGGTAGCATTACTCCCTGAAGGTTAATATGGTGGTGCCACTAGATCTCCCACAGAAGCCTTTTGGCTAAATTTGCTTTGTAGATGGTAGGGTAAATTATGAAAAACTATTCTGAATTTACACCAGTACACAAGCAGAATTTTGTTCTTTCTGATTATAAAATGCTGTAGATATGAATAGAGACTAATGTGACTTTGAAAGGAAATAATGTTGAGCCACATCATAAACTAGTTTTAATTGCTGTTATTTATTAAGTTATTACAGTTAGATGTCAAGCATCAGGCACAGCACAGACATTTACCTAAACAATGTCTTGCTAATGAAGTCTCCAAACACACACTTTGAAGTTTTGCCCACTCTGAGGAATCCATTTACAGTAAAATGTATATAAATTTTATTTATTATGTCAAAAGAATTTTCAAATCTATTTATTTTAGTTCCACAGCTGTTTTTTTCCAACTTGAAGAAATATAAAACTTACTTCAATTCAGTGTGGAAAACAGTATCGGTATTTTTTCTTCTGGTAAGAAAAATTACGTTACAATTATTCTGTAAAAAAATGCAGTATTTCTTCTGAGTTAATGGTGATAAGCTTTAGTTTTAAAGCTTACCACCACTATCTTTTTCATTATCACCAGCAGCAAAAAGATACTGTGATCTTGCAAGTAGGAGAACAGATAGTAGTGAATAGGACCTCAGTTAATTCCCTCTTTAAACCTATTAGAGCGCAATTGAAACAGTTGGGCCTGATTGAGTCTAATTTGTCTTCCTGATAGACTTGTAATACAACGAAAAAGATTCCCTGCATCTGCTACCTTAGGCCTCCGTAAGCTTTATTTTCCCCCCTTTTTTCCCTTAATAGTCTAATTTTGTTTCTTGTTTATCTGTTTACCTTGAAAATGGTTCCTGTATTTCCTCCTCTCTGAGCTTGGAAAGGTGGCTACTACATTGTGGGTCCTTTAGGTTTTTCTTATTGCCATAGTTTTACAGAAGACTGATAATCATTAGCACCATTTTTAAAAATTCGGTGCAAGCTTATTTCTGATCCTTGAGTGACTGTAATTCCTACATTACTTCTTTGCTTCTAGTTTTTCAATAGCATTGTTCACTGCAGTGAAGCAAGTGAGAAGGAAGGCAACTCAGGATTAAGATTGCCTGGCAGTGCTGCTTTAGCTTCATTACTTTGTCTAGAATTTTATATTTAGAGAAGTAAGTTGATTTTGGTTATTATCTATAGCACTTTTCTAGTCCTTAGACAATTCAAATTACTCAAGGGGCTTGCTTGTAACCACATTTTTTTTTTAAATTGGTATTTTTTCCTTCCTTGTTCTGGAAGAAGATATGGCAGCATTTAATGCTTTCTTTTTTTTCCCCCTGATTACCTTTATTATCATTCCTTTGTACTCCATCCTGATCAACTAGTTAAAATCATCTTGGGTTTTCATTTGCATTCAGTTTGTTGTACATCAGAATGAAATTTAATTTTCCTAGTATAGCAATGCTAGAAAATCATAGGCATGTAATTGTTTCTTTCTTATTAGTGTTTTAATCTGTTCACAATTCTGTCATGTGGTGAGTACCTTTTGTTCAGTTTCACAGTATTTCTCATTGCTAGAGGGTTTTCTGAGGCATATAAAGTTGATTCTTTCACATGTCATCTCCTCTTTCCAGTTCTTACAGCTTCCACTGACTTCTGTTTGAATCCTCTGGCTTTGACTGACTATTTTGGTTCCCCCAGAATGTGTCTTCTTGTATGTCAGGATCTGGATTTATGCACCTCACATTAGTTTCAATTCAGCAAAGTATATAATTATACATCTAACTATAGAGAGGTGCCTCAGTGGAGTGTAAGTTTGACTCCCAGAAACTTTAGTAGGACATGAGCACCTCCTGTCTCTTTCTGAATTCTGACTTGTGCTTTAGCATTAAGGGATTGATTAATTGGAACACTGAATCAGGACCTCAGCTATGCTCCTGTCTGTCTGACTCTGAGAAATACCCTTGTTGATCTGGATAGCTCCCTAAATCACAAAGTCCTGACAACTCCTCCAGACTCATGGTGTTTGCTTTCCTTGGCATATCCCAAAACACCCTTCTCTGTTCAGCTGCACCTGTGATATTCCAGCAGCTCTCTTTGTTCCCAAGCCATTATGTCTTCCTACTCAAATTTCCATTCAAAGAGTGATTCATGCAGCAGGGGAAAGGCATGACCTAGCTGCCCCCTCAGTTTCCATCGCTTTGCAAATCATGTGCAGTCTCATCTGAACTGCAGCTTTCATTTCAGACTTCTCTATTCCCATCCCTGGAATTAATTCTTTTATTCCTTACTCCTGTAGTCTGCACTGTGAGGAGAGACATGTTTGCTGCATAAAGTCTTTTATTTTTTAAACTAGCTTTGGTCTCAGGAGCAATGAAAACACACCAGCATGGATTTTCTTTCCCCTAGGAATGCCTTTTCTCAGAGCAGATGAATACATATGGTTGTGACCTGTGCCGTAGCGACTCTGTGGACAAAGCACAAGCTTGACTCGTTATACTGGCATCCTTTTTTTAATAATAGCTTTCATACTCTGAATGTTTGGTTCTGATGTCCGGCTGGAGGGAATTGCACAACTTCACCAACAGTCTTTACAAGAGCTCCATGCTCTTCAGTCATTCTTTCTAATGCTTTTGATGTCTTCCATTGTCCCCTGTACTACTTTCCTCTTCATCCTTTGAATATTACTACCTTATGCCTTTTGAGCCTCCTCTTCC